TTCCTGGATTGTGAACTGGTTAAAAGACAGGAAACAAAGGGTAGGAATAAATGGTAAATTTTCAGATTGGAGAGGGGTAACTAGTGGTGTCCCCCAAGAGTCAGTCCTGGGACCAATCCTCTTCAACTTATTCATAAATGATCTAGAGAAAAGGGTAAGCAGTGAGGTAGTAAAGTATGCAGATGATACCAAACTGTTTAGGATAGTCAAGACAGAAGCAGACTGTGAGGGACTCCAAGAAGATCTCACCAAACTGAGTGATTGGGAAACAAAATGGCAAATGAAATTTAATGTGGATAAGTGTAAAGTAATGCACATTGGGAAAAATAACCCCGACTATACGTACAGTATGATGGGGGTTAATTTAGCTACAACAAATCAGGAAAGATCTTGGAGTTATTGTGGACAGTTCTCTGAAAACTTCCACGCAGTGTGCAGCAGCGGTCAAAAAGGCAAATAGGATACTAGGAATTATTAGGAAAGGGATAGAAAATAAGACCCAGAATATCTTACTGCCCCTGTATAAAACTATGGCATGCCCACATCTTGAATACTGTGTTCAGATGTGGTCTCCTCACCTCAAAAAAGACATTTTGGCCTTGGAAAGGGTTCAGAAAAGGGCAACTAAAATGATTAGGGGTTTGGAACGGGTCCCATATGAGGAGAGGTTAAAGCGACTGGGACTTTTCAGTTTAGAAAAGAGGCGACTGAGGGGGGGATATGATAGAGGTCTATAAAATCATGAGTGGTGTGGAGAAAGCCAATAAAGAAAAGTTATTTATTAGTCCCCATAATAGAAGAACTAGAGGACACCAAATGAAATCAATGGGTAGCAGGTTTAAAATTAATAAAAGAAAGTTCTTCTTCACACAGCGTGTAGTCAACCTGTCAAACTCCTTGCCAGAGGATGCTGTTAAGGCTAGGACTATAACAGAGTTTAAAGAGAAGCTAGATAATTTCATGGAGGTTAGATCCATAAAAGGCTATTAGCCAGGGGATAAAATGGTGTCCTTGGCCTCTGTCAGAGGCTGGAGAGAGATGGCAGGAGACAAATTGCTTGATCATTGTCTTCGGTCCACCCTCTTTGGGGCACCTGGTGTTGGCCACTGTTGGCAGACAGGATACTGGGCTAGAAGGACCTTTGGTCTGACACAGTAGGGCTGTTCTTATGTTCACTTTTAATGCAAACTTCTGCTCTCAAAAGGTGTTAGTGTGGCACTAAAATGGGATCTTCTTATGCCTGTCCATTTGTGGGTTTTTTACAGGTGTTTTTTCAACAGTTTTCTGGCATCACTCAATCTCTTCCTGAGGTATATTGATAACATTTTTGGAGTTGCAGTTTGCTCTCATGAAGATCTCAACAAGATTTTGTCATTCTCTCAGTTGCGCCCAGCTTTGGAACCCTTTGGAATTAATGTTATGTTTTAAACATCTCCAGGAACAAACATTTGAAATAAAGTGCTGTGTTGACAGTCAAGTTAACACAGCTGAGGAAGGGCTTGTCTCAAATGTCCCGTAATGATTTTTTTATCATTATATTTTGTGTACAATATATTTCCACTTTCTGGTTGGCCACCCTGGTCTACACTGTGCCAAAAGTTCAAGGGACTGGATTAGATGACCTGACGGGCCCTTCCCAGTCCTACAGCTCTATGATTAAGGATTTTAGTTTTCATATAATTAGAAATGAAATGTAGTTATCCCTTAGGCTTATATTAGTTTTGTTACATATTTATATGTTCTGTAAGACAGACGTCTAATTATCAATTCTTGTCTGTTTTCAAGAACAAAATTGGTGTAATCATTGGTAGTCATTCAAACCTAAAAGCTTCTAACTTTCCTAAAAGTAGTTTCTGCTTTACTTTTTTGTTGATATATTAGACAAACTTTCCTCAACTTAAACCAGTATGTCTTGTGGATCAGGATCAGTCTAGGATGTAGACTTTCTATTGTCTGCACATATCACATATACAAGTACAATCTAAGTGATTAGTACATGTAAAACAAAAGCACTCTTCGATCTCGGATCTGCAACTACATATGCTTTTCGTAGTTGCATCAGTTATCACCTCTTCCCCCAAGAGGAATTTTAGTTGGCACAGGAGCTGGCAGTTTTACTAATTAAGTCTCAGCTACTGCAGAAAAGGATAAGGAGCAAGGTGAAGTTAAGACCAATAGATGTAAAATGGAAAAATCTTTTAAGATTCCACCAAGTTGCCACATAATACGGCAATCACTGTTAATGCTAGAAGTTGCGTAAGGAAAACTAGAATTCTTACATCCCTGAACAGCCTAGGACTAGAAACTATAGCTGTAGATTTTCCACCATTTTGCAAAGGGCCCTGTGAGTGGCTACTTCCAACTCCCCACACTCATGAGCAGAAAGTCATTTGCTAAAAGCCCTAAACAAGGCTCTTTATTTCCCTATGCCTTTTGGTAAACCAGCTGAGTGGTGCTCATTTTCCTGCTTCATAGCTAAAAGCTGTGTCCAGCACACCCTGCTTGCCTACAGGGCTCGAGAAACACACTGACTGCAGGTCCTACTCAAAGGGCTTTGCACTTCCCATAGGCCATATTTATGCTAAGCCCTAGAAAAGGCAGGGATAACTAGTGTCAGACGGCACTTAGCTGGGGCTAACACCACCTACACAGGGCAGTGTCTCCCTCCCCTCCCAGGAACTTTAGGAAAGGCCTAAAGCGAGGTACAAACAGGGCTCGAGAAACACACTGACTGCAGGTCCTACTCAAAGGGCTTTGCACTTCCCATAGGCCATATTTATGCTAAGCCCTAGAAAAGGCAGGGATAACTAGTGTCAGACGGCACTTAGCTGGGGCTAACACCACCTACACAGGGCAGTGTCTCCCTCCCCTCCCAGGAACTTTAGGAAAGGCCTAAAGCGAGGTACAAAGGCTAGATTTTGAGAGCCCCCCCCCCCATCCCCAGCTGGAGGAACAGAAGAGAAGCCCGCGCCAGCCCAAGCAGCAAACACAAGGGGCTCGCGCTATCGCTAAGAATTCTACCCCTCCCCGGCATAAGACCCCGCACGCGCGCGCGCGCGCGCCACACTCCTGCTACTGCTGGCTGGGCCCGCACGTGTGCAATTTATCAGAGTCGCGCATGCGCGATGCTCTCCGAGAGCCGCGCCCACCCTTGATGAGCGGGAAGGGAAGAAGAGGCTGAGAATGAGGGAAGCTGCAGCAGTGAGGAGGGGGCGGGACCAGGGGGGTCCGCCCTGAGCCCGGCATTTCAAAAAGCCCCGCGCATGCGTCTTGGCAAAGGGGGGGGGAGGGCTAGTAAAACGGTCATCTGCCCCTGGGCGGGACTAACGGTTGTGGAATGTTCTGCACGTCACGGGTTGGCCCTTGGGGGCGTTACCCGCCGCTAGCCTCGTGCTCCAGTTGCTGTTGCTGCCTTGCTCCGCCCGGGCCCGGAGCAGCCTGGGCCAGAGCGCTGGGGGAGGGGTGCCGGGGCGCACGTGGCGCAGGGCTGTGTCAGTGAACGGTCATCTGCCCCTGGGCGGGACTAACGGTTGTGGAATGTTCTGCACGTCACGGGTTGGCCCTTGGGGGCGTTACCCGCCGCTAGCCTCGTGCTCCAGTTGCTGTTGCTGCCTTGCTCCGCCCGGGCCCGGAGCAGCCTGGGCCAGAGCGCTGGGGGAGGGGTGCCGGGGCGCACGTGGCGCAGGGCTGTGTCAGTGGCACGCGAGTGCCTTAGGCAAGTGGTAGGAAGGGCGTTTGTGGGGACCGACTCTGAGCATTCAGGGGACCACCAACCTTTCTGCAAACCATCCCCCCCCCTGCAGGGAGTGTCTGTTGTGTGCACACAGGTGATGCTCTCCTGTGGAGGTATTTATGGACCCTCCCTTACTCATCAGCCACTCTAAAACACTATTGGCATTGTTTCCACAAACCAAAAAGTAGCCCTGGTCAAGAGACTGTGTTGAATAAGATGAATGGTATTTGGGGGAAAGCATTAAAGTGGGGGCACCTGGAGAGAGAGAGAGAGAGAGAAAGAGAGAGAGAGAGTTTGTGTGTGTGTGTGTGTGTAAGAAAGAAAGAGCTCTCAGTGTGTGTGCATGTGCATGAATGTGGATGGGGGTGTGATGATTTGTCCAATCAGCACATGTTGTGCACACATAGTGGGGGGTGCACTATTTGTTGCAGACTATTGTTTGCATGTGAGTTTGTCACTGTGCATGTGATGTTTAGTATATGTCTGTGCTGATGTGTTATCTGTGTGGCTACGTCTAGACTGACATGATTTTCCGCAAATGCTTTTAACGGAAAAGTTTTTCCGTTAAAAGCATTTGCGGAAAAGAGCGTCTAGATTGGCACGGTCGCTTTTGCACAAAAGCACTGATTTCGGACAGTAGATCGTCAGTGCTTTTGTGTAAAATCAAGCAGCCAGTCTAGATGCAGCCTGTGTGTTTAGTGAGAGGATGTGTGCCAAAGTGTACCTAGGAGAATAACTGAATTTCAGGGTACTGTGGGTCTCTTATGTTTGGCAAGGGAGAATTTGTCATGTGTATTTTATCAGGATATTATTGTGTGTTATTGTGAAAACATGTCAAGTTTGTGCCTCATTATTTTTTACATCTGCATATGAATGAAATTGTTTATTCATATGTCATTTCAGCACTCTGTATTTGCATAATGTACCAAACAGGGTATACATTTCTGTGTGACAGCATACTGTGTGTGTGCATTGTAATTTTAAAATATCTGTCAGCACGTGAGTTGGGGAATATATGCATGTGCAATACTATGTTGTATGTGTTATGGAGCTATTAATGGCCAAGTTGTAAGAGCGATTCTCCTTATCTTACAGTGATAGTGGCTGACAAGAGGGAGAAGACCAAATCTATTGAACACTAATTACTAATATTGGGAAATTCATAAAACATTTCATAACCTGGCAATTTTTATGCACCATCTCCCCTAAACTATTTGGGAGAAGATAAAATACCTACTTGCAAATATATTGCCACATGACAGTGCAATCCCACTGTTTGATTTGAAGGTCTTTAAATAAACTGTTTAAATAAAAAGCTATGTCTACACTCACGGCTTCTTGCACAAGTAATATGTAAAGGAAGCTAAGTGTGGAATATTGCTGAGCCTCATTTGCATGCCTAATGAGCTACCATTTTTTTCAGAAGAGGCTCTTGTACAAGAAGGAGCGTCTACACTGCCCCTTCTTGCGCAAGATAAACCCTCTTGTGCAACCCAAGAGGGTTTTTCTTGCGCAAGAAGGCGCAGTGTAGAAGCTCTTTCTTGCGCAAGAGCCTCTTCTGAAAAAAAGGTGGCTCATTTGCATATTACTTGCACAAAAAGCCGCAAGTGTAGACATAGCCTAGGTGAAAGGTGCCAGGCTGACAGACCTAGAAAGTGAAGTTCTCTTTTCCAGCAGCCAGCAACACAACAAGATTTCTCTCATCGGGCAATATGCCCCAACCATAGCCTGAAGGGACCGACTACAGAAGACACAGGTCAGTTCAGCATGCATACATGTTCACTGTTTGACTTCTGGGTTGATATTGTCAACAAGGATAACAATCATGTTGGTGATTATGTCAGGTGGATTATTTATGCACTAGAAAATGGACTGAGACCACCAGTTCATTTTCTGTCAGTCTCCCTACAGCAGTCATTAGACAGAAACAATTGATTTGAGTCAGTGGCCAGAAAGTGAAATATTCTCTTTTTTTGTCCAGTGAGATATTCACTCTTTGGTTTTAAAACTGAAGTTCAAATATTGATGCCTGTTTTCTCCTCTGAAGTGACTTTGTACATACAACTTTTTCAATTGTCAGAGAAACAAAAACAATAGAGTACATCATCATCTGGACAAGGACCTCTTATATTAATTGAAAATTAACTGAAACTTAACTAGAAAACTGACTAAAAAATAATTCAGGTTAGGTTTTCTACAAAACACTATTCAGACATTTGGTGAAATTCATCTACAAAGAACAAGAATACATATTAACATTATAACAAGGAAGAGGCCTAGTCTGGATAGTTTAACACAATGGTGGCCCACTGTTGCCCATCACTGGTTTGACAGATTGGTAATTAGTAAAGTTAAGATTATTCACAGAATCTGTGACATCTGCACTTCAGCCCTGGGATAGTGGAGCTGGAGCTGTCAGACATCAGGGGCTGTTACAGCTCCTACCTACTGTGGGTAGATCCAGAGCTCCCAGCCACCATAGATAATGGGGAAACCCCATAGCTCTGACCAACTACATGGATCTGGTGGATCCCACAGCTCCCAGTTACTGCTCAAGCTCAGGAGCTCTCAGAGCTCCCAGGCAGTCGTGGCAGTTGCTGTACCCTACACCTTAAGCATCCTGTCGAGCAGCAGGGCCAGCGCTCAACCCTTTTTGTCACAGTTAATTTTAGCAATTATGGGCTTCTGTGAATGTTTTGTTTGTTGTCAATTACCTGTCTATAACTTTTACTCAAAGTAATTATGACAAAATCTTAACGTTAGCAACGAGTTGTATGTTGGACAATCGGCTGAATATATTTCAGATTATCAGTAACAGAAAGTTTGACTTGATGCCCTTTGAGTTGAAGCTCTTACTCCAGTACTTTATGGAAATATGTTCAGATCAAAGCAACTTCCATTCCATACAGTGCCCTTCCAGGTAGGCTCAGCAGAGCGATGGGAGATAGAGTAACATGGGAACTGATCCCAGTACAGTGAAAACATGGATTTTGTAATGTTGTTTCCTATGTTATAACTAATTCTGTAAATAATGAATTCCATGGTAAAATCCTTACCTGATACCAATCAATTTAGCTCCAGTGAAGTCAGCTATACTTAGGAATAGAGCCTTAGCTGTTGTAAATAGACATAGCCCCGCTAACTTCAGTTGAGCTATATCAATTTCAACCAGCTGAGCATCTGGCCCATTGAACAGTTCTATGCAGAAAAGGCATATTGTGTAAATCAGTTCCCCAAACCACAATTTATATGAGCTAAACTTATAGTGCAACAACAGTATATTTTAGAAGTGTTTGATGTTTTGCTGTGTTTCATGTAATCACAGAAAAATGGCAGGAAAGAAGAAAGAAATTCAACTACAGGTATAAATCATGTTTATTATTTGAGTAATTCTAGAGTTCAGTAGAATTGTTGACATTTTTAGAGATACTAAATTCTGAGTTTGTTTTATCTCAGGCCATAATAACCAATCAAACACAATGGGATGAAATGTTGCTGACTAAAGGTGTAACAGGTACTATTACTTTTTTCCTACTAATGAAATGTGTGCATTTTTATCTTTTTTTCATTTTGTAACCCCTTTCCTGCCTAGGTATTTCTCACTGTGCACACACTTCTAACTTCCACTTCCCATTGGCTTGCCCCTGAAAGCTAAGTGTTCTGGAAACCTGCATAAAGCTTAAGTAAACATGCTTTGTGTTGCTACATGAAGACTTGAAGATTTTGAAATTCACTCTCCTCAACTGGGAACAAGATACAGGGCTGCACTACAGCCACTCCACAGCTGCTTCACTAGTCTAAAGGTTGGATTTATAATCCCTGGCACTCCATACTAGGGATGTGAACGACTAGTTGACTATCCGATAAGCAAATGCTTATCGGATAGTCAACAGAGTAGTCACTTTCCCCTCTTGCCACCTTTATCAGAAAGAGAAGGGGGGGAGGAGAGGGAGGAAGGAAGAAGTGCTTCAAAGTAGCAGCGCTGCGTGGAGCCTGGGGCCAGAGCCTGGGGCCAGACCCCGGGATCCACGCGGCGCGGCACTGCAACTTTGAAATGCCACATGCAGCCCAGGGTCAGCTGGAAGCCTGGTGGCACATGGCATTTTCAAAGCGGCAATGTTGCATGGAGCCCAGGGTCAGCAGGGGAGTCCCCCCATCCCCCGCTGACCCTGGGATCCATGCGGTGCTGCCACTTTGGAATGCCACAGGGAGTACAGGGCTTCCAGCTGACCCTGGGCTGCATGTGGCATTTCAAAGCGACAGTGTCACGTGCTCCCTGCAGTGCTTTTTGCCTTTGAAGTGTAGCGACAGCTGGTAAGTCTCCTGGCGAGAACCTGCCTCTGGCACCTCAGTCCCTCTCTTCCCCAATCCTGTGCCCCACTATTTCACATGCACCTATATCCCCTCCCAGATCTGGCACCTCAATCTGCTCCTACCCTAGGTCACATCCCAAAACCCTGCACTCTGGTTCCCTGCCCTAGATCACAACTACCTCCTTTGCCCAAATTGCCTCCCTCATCCCAATCCTTTCTGCACCCAACCTCCATCCCAGACCCCACTCCTCCACCATTAATATCATGGGCGAGTGCAACCACTTTCCAAAATCTTAGGAGTGGCCCCTCATCAAAAATTATTGCCCACCCCTGGGCTAGTGGGTGATGTGATCAGCAGACTAAGAGTGAGAGTGAATGGGTAGTGAGTAGGGGTGCATGAATGGGTAATTGATTGCCCACTAAGCATCACCCTTATAGGCAGAACCCTGTGGGGGTCAGGAGTCACTTCCACACCCCATGCAGAGAGGCAAAAAGCAGAAGTTCATTGCCCTGCATTAGGTGTGGGTGGGGGAAAACAGGAGCTGGCTGCTGAACAGAAGCTGGCTCCTGCTGCCCTAAGCATAGGAAGTGGGCGGCGACAGTGGCATCCAGCAGCCGCAAGCACAGGAGCTGGGTGGGGCAGGAGCAGAAGCCAGCCCACCTTCGCACAGGCCTACTGGCTCCTGCCTCGCATGGGGTGTGGGAAAAGGCAGGAGCACGATAGAATAAACTTCCGATAATCTGGAACCTATCAGATATACCAGAGTATCAGGAGGTACTATAAGCTGGTTATGTATATACTGTATATAGTATATACTGTATATAAAGTGTTCTTAACCCTTTTTATTGTACATATTGTATACAGTATACTGTAATGTTTTAGTTTTTTTACCCTTTTCGCTTAGTTCAGCTGCTGCCGCTGTTACCTTCTGACTCATTTTTTGCCAAAGCTCACTCCCTAGGCTCTTGCCATTTTGATGCCAGACTATCAGGAGTGCCGGACTATTGGATGCTGGACTATTGGAGTTTTACTATACTACTTAAACCTTAGAGTTAACTGGTTAACTGATTAACTGGTTAACTGATTAACCAGGATTTTACATCCCTAGTAGCAAGTAAGATTGAGAGACAGCCCGCATGCATGATGGGAAGGAGGAAAACAGCCCACAAAAGACGAGTCAGGGTATGGAAAGAAACATCCAATGGAAGGGCCAAAGGAGGGAGAGACAATTAACAGTAGATATAGGAAAGGAAGGGCAACCAAGACAAAGGGATAGGGGAAGGAGAAATTCATATGTCTGCATTCCCATGACTAAATAAATAGTCTTACAGACTAAGACAGTTAAGCTGAAGCCTAATTGTTTGAGAGAATACCAAAAAGTAATGTTTTTCAGAAGAAAAAAGACCAAAAATGGATTTAGAAATACATGTATGTCAGTGCCATTGCCAGGACTACCTCTATATATTCACAAAAAAAATTATTTTATAAACTATATGAAACAGATTAATTTCATTCTAGTTTTTTATGTTTTTAGTAATAGATGTGTATCAAGCTTGGTGTGGGCCTTGCAAAGCTGTGGTAAATTTATTCAGAAAACTGAAAAATGAGCAAGGTGAAGATGGCCTTTTGCATTTTGCTGTGGTAAGGATGTAAATTCTATTTAGAACTTCAGTGCCAAATAGATACCTATAAATAGATAAATGTGTCACCATAATATCTGAGTAGCAATAGAGTCGGGTGAATTTGGCTTGCTTGTAATTTTTTCTGCATATCTCCTTAAAATAATAATATTGAAGTTTATAATGTAAAGAGGGAAAAGCTGAAAAATAAAATGTTTTTGAGAAAATTTTCAACTGGAAGACCAGGATAAAATGGCAGCTACAGTCTAATGCACTAAAGATATGTGTTTCACAGGTTCATTCTGAGTTTTCAACCAGGAGCTTATAATACTTGTCAGTATGGCTGCAGGTTGCTTTTGTTGCATTCAAACAAAAAGCAAGATGACAGAAGCAGCGTGTCTAGCCTATGGCAAAGCCGTTAAAAAGTATTATGCACTCACCATAACCACAATAGTTACCACTGATCTCTTCAGCAGCAAGCACCAAAAAACTGTATAATCACAGATAGCACTATGTGGTGATTGTTGGCAAATGCTCTTTAAATGGAGATAATTTTTCCAGCATGCAAATGCGGAGCACTACTATTTGGTCAACAGATAAGTCAGCAAGATTTTTATCCTACAGATCTTTAGCACAAAGATCTCCCCCTGTTAAGTTTGGAGTCTAAGAATCTAATACCATATAGCTATCTATATATTTTAGAAACGGGCATCTGTCTGCCTGCCTGCCTGTCTGTGAGTCCATTCTTTAAAGAATTCCTAAACGATAAGAGCTTACAAAGATAGTTTCCCCAATTATCACCCCTAATGTCATTACCTCACAGAAACTTCCCCTAATATCACCCCTGTGTCATTACCTCACAGAAACTAACCTTCCCCCCTCACCGCCACTCTGTTCTAAAATTTGATTTGTCAATTTCACACGCGTTCTTTTTTTTTTATTGTGTCACTTTGGTATATATGGTTGTGCTGATTTTCTTCCATATATTGATCTGAGGAAGTGGGTCTGGCCCACGAAAACTCATCACCTAATAAACCATCTTGTTAGTCTTTAAAATGCTACATAGTTCTGTCTTTTGTTTCAGCTACATTAGACTAACATGGCTGCATCTCTATCAGTATTTTATCAAATAGCTTTTGAGTTTGTGTGTATTGTATATGAAAAAGACATTAATAAAACAAAGTTACTGTTAATAAATTTTATTACATGCATTTGTCAAATCTTTATGTAGTGTGGACCACTGCATTCCGTTAAAAGCATTTTCGGAACAGAGCGTCTAGATTGGCACGGACGCTTTTCCGCAAAAGCACTTTTTGCGGAAAAGCGTCCGTGCCAATCTAGACTCGCTTTTGTGCAAAGAAGCCCCAATCACCATTTTTGCGATAGGAGCTTTTTTGCGGAAAACAAATCTGAGCTGTCTACACTGGCCCTTTTGTGCAAAAGCTTTGCACAAAAGGGACTTTTGCCTGAATGGGAGCAGAATAGTATTTCCGCAAGAAGCACTGATTTCTTACAGTAGGAAGTCAGTGCTTTTGTGGAAATTCAAGCGGCCAGTGTAGACAGTTGGCAAGTTTTTCCGGAAAAGCGGCTGATTTTGTGGAAAAACTGGCCAGTCTAGACACAGCCTGGGAGTAATTCCATACTCTAATAAGAATACAGCGGTAGGGACACCTGACCAGGATAGTGATAGTGATTATGAAATGCTAAGGGAGATTAGAGAGGCTATTAAAACTAAAAAATCAATAATAGTGGGGGATTTCAGCTATCCCCATATTGACTGGGTACATGTTACCTCAGGACGGGATGCAGAGATAAAATTTCTTGATACTTGAAATGACTACTTCTTAGAGCAGCTGGTTCTGGAACCCATAAGAGGTGAGGCAATTCTTGAGTTAGTCCTAAGTGGAGCACAGGGATCTGGTCCAGAAGGTAAATATAACTGAACCACTTGGAAATAGTGATCATAACATAATAACATTTAACATCCCTTTGGTGGGAAAAACACCTCAGCAGACCAACACTGTGACATTTATTTTCAGAAAGGGGAACTATACAAAAATGAGATTAGTTAAACAGAAATTAAAAGGTACAAAGAAAGGGGTAAACAGTGAGGTGGCAACATTTGCACATGACACTAAACTGCTCAAGATAGACCAAAGCAGACTGTGAAGAGCTTCAAAAAGATCTCACCACACAATGATTGGGCAACAAAATGGCAAGTGAAATGTAATGTTGATAAATGCAAAATAAAGGACATTGGAAAAAGTAATCTCAACTATACATACAATAGGATGGAGACTAATTTAGCTATAGCTACTCAAGAGAGAGATCTTGGAGTCATTGTGGATAGTTCTCTGAAAACATCCACTCAATGTACAGCAGCAGTCAAAAAAACAAACAATTTTAGGAATAATTTTAAAAGGACTAGAGAATAAGCCAGAGAACATCTTAATGCCTCTCTATAAAACTATGGTACGCCCCCATCTTGAATACTGTGTACAGATGTGGTCGCCTCATCTGAAAAAAAGATATATTGGCACTGGAAAAGGTTCAGAAAAGGGCAACAAAAATGATTAGCGATTTAGAACAGGTCCCATATGAGGAGTGATTAAAAAGACTTGGACTTTTCAGCTTAGAAAAGAGGAGACTAAGGGAGGATATAATAGAGGTCTGTAAAATCATGACTGGTGTGGAAAAAGTGAATAAGAAAAAGTTATTTACTTGTTCCCATAACATAAGAAGTAGGGGTCACCAAATGAAATTAAAAGGTAGCAGATGTAAAACAAATAAAAGAAAGTTTTTCTTTATGCAACACACAGTCAACTTGTGGAATTTCTTGCCAGAGGATGTGGTGAAGACTAGGACTTTAACATGGTTCATAAATGAACTAAAGTTCATGGAGGTTAGGACCATCAATGACTATTAGCCAGGATGGGTAGGAATGGTCTCTAGCCTCTGTTTGTCAGGAAATGTGTGACAGGGGAGGGATCGTGTGAGGATTACGTGTTGTGATCCCTCCCTCCGGGGCATCTGGTATTGGCAACTGTTGGCAGACAGGATACTGGGCTAGATGGACCTTTGGTCTGAGCCAGTATGACCCTTCTGGATGGACCTTTGGTCTGAGCCTTCAGTATGGCCTGTGTCCAGTTCTGGGCACCACATTTCAAGAAAGATGTGGAGAAATTGGAGAAGGTCCAGAGAAGAGCAACAAGAATGATTAATGGTCTAGAGAACATGACCTATGAAGGAAGACTGAAAGAACTGGGTTTGTTAAGTTTGGAAAAGAGAAGATTGGGGGGGGGGATGATAGCGGTTTTCAGGTGTCACGAGGGTGTCTAAAAGAGTGTCACAAGGAAAAGAGAAAAATTGTTCTTCCTGGCCTCTGGAAATAGAATAAGAAGCAATGAGCTTAAACTGCAGCAAAAGAGGTTTAGGTTGGACATTAGGAAAAAGTTCCTGTCAGGGTAGTTAAACACTGGAATAAGTTGCCTAGGGAGGTTGTGGAATCTCCATCTCTGGAGATATTTAAGAGCAGGTAAGATAAATATCTATCAGGGACTGAGATACAGTCTATGCTATATCACATCTCTGGCACCCTTTGGGGGCAGGACAGGAGACCTTGCTTGTTATGCTGCTTTGATTATCTCTAATTTAGTTTTGTTTTCATTGGATTAAAATAGCCAGAGAAGTTTAGAGTTGTGGTTTTTAAAAAACAGACTATTTTTCTTACCTCTTAAACTATTTAAAGCTTGCTTCTGACGACAAATTGTGAGGCAATTTGTTCTTGGCTAATACCTTGTGCCAATTCTGTGTATTTGTCTGGTGTGAATGTGAGACAATTCACTACCATTATTTAAAGGCTGTTGCTAGTGTTAGTGAGATTCTCAAAGTGCTCAGCTTCTGCCTGATTCTTCTCACATTGAAGTTAATGGTAAAATGACCATTAACTACGACCAATACTTTGAGCTTTTGAAAATCCCCATTAGTATTTGTGCGCCCATGACTTTGTTTTTAAGCCTGATACACCTAATGGACAATTTTTTCAAATGTTGGGTACTAAATTGTGCTTGGAATAAAAGTGGGCATGCAGTCATTAGTAACTGTGCACAGAACAGCCACGTCAGTTACTCAGATAAACTTACATTTGTGTGGGTAGTTGTAAACATTTACATTGGTGGGAGTGAGTTGCTATCTTTGGTTTCAAAATATAGTCCTGTTTGTAGAAATTTTCAGTATAATAATATATAACACTTACATAGGAGTTTTTTTTATCCCAGGATCTCAAGTACTTTACAAAGGAAAGAAAATATCAACATTTCTAATTGAGACCTCAAGATAATGAAGCACAGAGAGGTGAAATGATTTGCCAAAGTCACACAGCAGGTCAGTGACAGAGCCAGAAATAGAACCCAGGTGGCTAGACTACCAGTTTAGTGCCCTTTTCATGCAACCATACTGCTACTCATGTAGGCCTATACACAAAGGCCATGTGTTGCTATGAAGATAATCAGTGGTGGTGATGGTAATGGACCTCATATTTTTTGGTCTGGGAAGTATGAGTATTTTAGAACATTTGCTCCACAACATGTATCTACTGGTGTGGAAAAAGTGAATAAGAAAAAGTTATTTACTTGTTCCCATAACATAAGAAGTAGGGGTCACCAAATGAAATTAAAAGGTAGCAGATGTAAAACAAATAAAAGAAAGTTTTTCTTTATGCAACACATAGTCAACTTGTGGAATTTCTTGCCAGAGGATGTGGTGAAGACTAGGACTTTAACATGGTTCATAAATGAACTAAAGTTCATGGAGGTTAGGACCATCAATGACTATTAGCCAGGATGGGTAGCAATGGTGTCCCTACCCTCTGTTTGTCAGAGGCTGGAAATGGATGACAGGAAAGGGATCACTTGGGCTATGTCTGCACTGCAGTGCTATTTTGGAATACTGGAGATATTCCAAAATAGCTATTTCGTGCCTTTTGACCATGCCCATTATTTTGAATATAATATTCCAACGTCCCTGTAAGCCTAATTCCATGAGGAGTAAGGGACGTTTCAGAATAGCGATTTATTTTTAAGTAAGTGCTGTGTAGAGAGCACCAGATTTTGAAATAAGCTATTTCGAAATAAGATCAAAATAAGATACACAATTTGCGTAGCTCAAATTGCATATATTATTTTGAGCTACAAGTGCACTGTAGACACATCCTTGATGATTAGCTGTTTGGTCACTCCCTCTGGGGCATCTGGCATTGGCCACTGTTGGAAGACAGGATACTGAGCTAGATGGATCTTTGGACTAACCAGGTATCGCTGTTCTTATGTTCTTATCCTATGACATTTCAATGGCAACTACAGCCATTACTTACATAAAAAAGCAATATTAGGACAGAGTATTTTTAATGTAAACAAGAAGGAAAGCCTGTGCAATGTGACCAGCAAGGCTGACTACAGCAAGTGTTTTAAGGTCTAGTAGTGGTCCACAGCAGTGTTCCCTGTAAATTGCATGCTTGTGAGGCTATTTGGGAAAGATTTTAATATTGTCAAACTGATTAGCAGAGCATCCACAGCTTTTTGTTTCTACTGATGGTGCACATTTATATACGCCTTGGTGCACATGAAACTTGATTCCATACAGGGATGGAAAAAATCCACAGAGGGATAGAAAAGATTAGAGGGAACACTGGTCCACAGAACCATGGTTTGAGAATCAGTCTGTAAAAGTTCTCAAATATCTATCTATCTATCTATCTATCTATCTATCTATTTATCTATCTATCTATCATAATCTATTTGTCCTTCTTTTAGGCGGAGGCTGACAGCATTGTGACCCTGCAGACATTTAGAGACAAATGTGAACCTGTTTTTCTCTTTTGTGTTGTAAGTGCAATATACATCATTGGCTTTTACTTTCATGCTGCCTGTTTTTGTATTTATCAATATATTGAAAATAAATGTGAAGTTGTACAGATGTGAATTATAGCTTTACAATTTTAGTGTATTGGATATTATTGGATATTGAACATGCTAGCCATTGTAACAGTGAGTCATGTTTTATATGGTTTTGGCATGCAGAAAAGAAGGGGTATTAGCACAGTACTTTTGCTAAGAAAATTCTCTGTTATACTAGGACTATCAGAATGGCCATAAAGTCAGACTAAAGTCCATCTAGCCCAGTACTTTCAAATAGTAGCCAATGCAGGTGCCCCAGACAGAATGATCAGAACAGGTAGTCATCATAAAGTGATCCACATGTCTGTACTAGATGTACATTATGCCAGACCTGATTGCTAACTCTGTAGACAATGCTTTTTTTTCTACTTGAAAGTTTTGAAATTTGGATTCCAGCAGCTAGAGGCAAATAACCAAGATGCATTAAGGAGACTGATAATAGGCTTGCTCTGTTCCTCTCTATGTGAATGCAGCCAGATGAAATTAAGAGTATTTCTGATCTCACCAAAAGCTAGCCAGATTCAAGAATGCTGCTCACACATATATGTGGCAGAGCAATGAGCAGAGGAAGGAAACACAACAGGGAGGGTAATAAAGGAAGCGGTGGGGAAATGGAGGAACTAGAGCTGAGATGAGGAGAGTGACAAACAGTGGAGGGAAGAAACCTTGAAACGGGGAGGATAGGTAGGAAGTGAAAGCAAAAATGGTATAATTCTGTACCAGTGAAGTGAATGGAAGCTCTGTCATTAACTTTAGTGGACTCAAGTTCAGATCCTAAAGGAGTAAGGAGGCAAAGAGTAACAAAAAAACAAGAATAGTCAAAAATGGGAAGAGATGGAAGTAAGGAAAGAGAACAGCAAGAGAGATGGAAAATTTAAGACTGATTCTCATTTATATTAAGGTCCCTACATCATTCTATCAATGTAAATGGACCTTAATATTAAGTAAATTTACACATGTAATACTTAAAGTCTCTTTATATAGTGAAAACAGTATAAAGGGATTTCAGAGGAAATGAGAATCAAGCTTCTATGTTCTTTCCTTTCCTTTTCTTTTGGCTTTTAAGAAAATTAGTTGTAAGTGAATTTGTGAAAGGTGTCTGATTGCTAGTCCTGGACATTCCGTTGCACTATGTTTTAAGGGCCAGATTCTGCAGTTCTGAATTGAACAAAACTCTTATTGTTGCCAATAGCTTTTTTGCTCAAATAAGAATAGCAAATTTTGGCCATTATAGAACAGATACATCCTGGGTATCAGTAGTAGTAGTATCTCTATCCTGCTTCATACTCAACTTAGATGAAGAACTTCTGAGGGTCAAAGCATGTTTAATCTAAGGGTATGTCTACACAGCAAAGTTATTTCGAAATAATAGCTGTTATTTTGAAATTATTTTCCTAGTGTCTACTCAGCCAAACCACTATTTCAAAATTAAATTGAAATAGCAGAGGGCTAATTTCAAAATTGGTAAACCTCATTCCACGAGGAATAGCACCAATTTCGAAACTGCTATTTTGAAATAAGTGTTGTGTAGACGCTGACCTGCTGGCCACTCTGGACACAACCAGGAAAACTCCTCTCAGGAAAGCTTTGGAGCAAAAATTGTGCTACCTGAAAATGGATGCGGCAACCCATGGAAACAAATTTCCTTGCAATCAATGCTCAGTACTACGAAGAAGGAAAAGATAAAGCTGTGGTAAAAACCTTGAACAGAATCAACACTGAAGGGCGTCACAATTCTTCCTACGTGAAAAGTCAAGTAAAAGCTATTTTAGAAAAATTTGGGATCATTGAAATGCAAGTGCTGAACATCTGCGTTGACAATGCAGCAAACATGACATGTGCCATCAAAAATTTCAGCGAGGACAATGAAACTATTTCTACCTCTGAGAGCAGGGATGTGGACAGAACTGAAGCTATTTTGCCTGATGAAGGAACTAAAGGAATGGATGAAATCGAACTCAACATGGATGCCGCTGCGCAATGGGTTAATGACCCTAGCCTCATACTTCCAACATGGCTTCATGAGGACGACTCAAAAGTCCAACTGATGAGGTGTGGTATTCACACTCTTCAGTTGGCAATCTGGGACGGACTGAACAAAGAACATGCGAAGAAATTTCTGGCAAAATTTTGACAAGTCTTTGTCAAACTACGAACCCCAAGTATTCAAAGTGTTTTGCTTGATCTACATGGGGTAACTCAGTCATTGGATATTGTGACTCACTGGGGTTCAACATTTGCGATGATTGATCAGCTTCTCGTTTTTCAATCTTACTGTGAACAAGTGGCTGCTGCTGGAACAAAAGAACTCAAGTTAACAAAAGCTGAATGGGATGAAGTGAAGAACCTGCGAGACCTCTTGGCAAAGCCAAACGAAACAACCATGAATCTTCAAGCTGTTAATGTAACTCCGGGAGTTTTAATGAAGGAATGGTGAAAACTGTCAAAATTCTTGCAAGAAAATGGTGAACAAATTGCAGAAGAAATTCTGTCCTCCATGCAGAAACTCATGACAATATTCATGTCCTTGCTGGAGTTTATGTTGACCCATGGTATCGGATTCTTCTTACCTCAAGGGAAATACCAAAGGCAAAGGCTCCATAATATTGCTCAATGACTCAAAAAACAAAATCTATTGCTACATTTGAACTTGGCGAAAGAGGTTGAAGAAAACAAAACACAACAGAAGAAGTCATCAACAATCGAATTTGCGGTTTTGGAAAGTACACATTCTTCAGAAATAGAAGGCTGTTCTCAAACTTCCGTCTCTACTCTAAACTTGTTCAAGCGTCCATCCCTGAGACGTCGTCAGCCATCGCAGGGAAATGGAGATAATTCAAGCACCAATTCTTCAGAAGATGACGACTTCAAAAAGGAATTGGATAAACAAGAAAGATGCTGGCAAGTTTCTGTGATTCATAATTGTAATGAAGCATTATTCAAAAGAAACTTTTGGGAAGATTGTGAGGCGATGGAGTCTATTGGTAGGCTAAAAGTTAAGTCTGTTTTTGAGGCCATTCACAGCTACCCACACCGCATTCAGGCTGCCTGTAGAATTGCTTTGAGCATGCCAACAACTCAAGCTAGTATAGAGTGACTGTTTTCAGCTTTAAAGTTAATTTTAAATCATCTGCAGCAGGCTATGAAAGACGACTTGATTTCTGCAATAATTTTTTGCAAGTTGAATTATGAATGCTTCTAGTTTGTATCATTGTTGATGACATTTAAATTGTTTTAAAACTCTGAATAAAAATGTTTTTTTTCAAAATTACAGTATGCATTTTTTTATTTAGTTAAAAATTAATTTGAGTCGGAGAGTGGAATCAGAGCAGAGCTGGAGCAGTCACTATTGGTGCCGGAACGGAGCAATTCAAAAATTTGATTGCTCCAAATCCTTGGTCCCGAGTGAGGGCAACCAGAGTGCACACAGACAAAAATGCTTTGCTGTCTCTCATCGAGGTAGGCAAGGAAGCAGGGAAACCTGACAACCAGCTGTCTGGAGGGGGTCCATTTAAGCACAGGCCTCAGATAGCCTCAGGCAGTGGCCACACAAAGTAACTCCTGACTTGATGCCCTGCCAGAACTGGTTCCAACCAGCCTTAAATGTGATTCAGTGTCCACTCAGTGCGGACGCACTATTTTGAAATAGCAAAATGCTATTTTGTGTGTAGATGCATTATTTCAAAATAAGCTATTTCTAATTATTTCGAAATTAGATATTTCGAAATAACGCTGTAGTGTAGACATACCCTAATATATAAAGGAGAATGTTTGTGCGCTAAATAACTTGGGCACTATAAGAGCTACTGCAATCAAACTTTGCATGGGGTAACCTTTCCCCCAGGAGAAGGTTTTAAGGTACTTTTGGCAGTGCAGGGAGAAGCGGCGTCCCGGGGGAAGCGGCGGGGACAGTAACTCACTAAGGCCGGTGGTGGCAGCAAGAGAGTGGGAAGTGATTAGTTGTGGGACTAGTCAACTAGTCACTTACATCCCTACTACAAACAAGTTACACATCATTCCTGATATGTCAGGTTGCCACCCTCTGACGCTTCTTAGATACCAACCATCACCCTGTGCCTTGTGGTTTGATTAGATCATATCTAACCATCATGCTTTCATTTTAGACCCTTTCCTGACCCTGGGTCTGTATCTGTGGGGAGTGTGGGTACCAAAGTATTTTTTAATGAGCTGGTGTTGCCATGTGCTTTCAAGTAATAACCAGTACCAATTACTGTTTTATAGTCAATATCTAATACCAATTACTGTTCGACACCTGAGCCTATTACCAATTCATGTTTTACACTCTCAGCATTGTTCGTGCCAAGTTCTGTGAGCGGGGGCCTGCCTCTTGCTCACAACTTAGCTTTGCTTTATGTTAGCTAAGTGTTGTTCTTTGTTAGCTAAGCCTCAGACCAGCCTGTGCTACATTGGCTTATGTTTTAGGACCTCATCTTACTACAGAGACCACCAATTCATTTCATGTAGGACATTGTTGAGCAGTTGGATGTCAGTTTTAGGTTATCACCTATGTTGGCTATATTTGAAATGTTGAAAATGAAATGCTCTGTATCTCATCAGCCATTGAACTCCATCTCAGTTCCAAACACTTTCAGTAAGAAAATGCCAAGTTCTAAAATATAAAAGTTTTGAGATAAGTGCTATGTTAATCAATAACAGAATTTCAAATAATGGCAACAAGTCAGTTTTATCTGATACTAATTTTGGCTCTGATTTTTATGTTTTGCAAATCAACCTACAGTAATATATTGCTCCAAATTTAATTTTTAAAGCACAGTACCTTGATAACTATCTGTTGCGCGTGAAAAATAGATTGTATTAGAAGTCACCTAAATATGCAACACTTAATGAATAGCTCTTACTAAGTGTTGTTTTACTGTTTACTTTTTACAGGATTGCAAAATTATAGCAATGGTGCGAGGTGCAAATGCACCTCTTCTCAGTAAGACAGTAATAGAATTACTAGAAGAAGAAAGGAAAATTTTAGCAGGGGAAATAGAACGTCCTGAGGTACTTACTAGATAACTGTTTCTTATCAAGTTTAAATATAAATTAATAGTTTTACTATATTTGCACAGTCTCTTTCTATGTGGATGATGTCATGAATTAGCATGTATCTCACCTTTTAGAAATTTCCACCAAGTGGTATTTATGCAAATGATACTGATAATTTTACAAACTGATCTGTATGTAGAGGAGGGATTATTCACTAACCAATATATCACAGCATAAAAACTAATTTTGTATTTATCTCTTTATTTTTATACTTTCAATGCTTACCTGTTCTACTAAGGGCTCAAGAGATAAAATAAGGGAAAGGTTTAGTTCTTATCTCATTCCTCTTCCCAGCTGAAATGTAGGTTAAAATCATTCTATTTATTTGTGTACATGCAAAAGAGAAATTGTAACAAACTACAGTAAAACTCCAATTGTCCGGCATCCAGTGGTCCGGCGCTCCTGATAGTCCGGCATCAACTGGAACCTGGAAGTGCTCTGGCCAGCCGGACATTTGGAACTGCTCTGCCCCCGGCTTCCGCAAGTCCACCGCTGCTGAAACTGACCAGCGGCTGACTTGGGGAAGCCTGGGGCAGAGCAGTTGGGGTTCTGCTGGGTTGGTCCCCCAGCGCCGCCCCTCACCTGAGCGGTGCTGTGGGACCAACCCAGCAACACCCCAGCTGCTCTACCCC